CTGCCCGAGCGCGGGCGTATTCCAGGGGGGTTGCTGCTGCTGTTGCTGCTGCTGCTGCTGCTGTTGCTGCTGCTGTTGCTGCTGCTGTTGCCGTCCCCGGTCCCGCGATGGGCCCCTGCGTTTGATCCTCGAGTACCGGCGCGTTCAGCGGCGGCCCCTCGTGCGGTCTCACTCCGTTGGCCAGGTGAAAGAAGTCCGTTATCCGCCGCTGTTGGGGCCCTTGCGCCTGGATCTGTTGCGCTTGCTCTGGCTGTTCTGTCGCGGGGTTAGCCGCCCTTTCCAGTCGCCTTCCGGCTGCTCGCAGACAACACCTGCCTACCTCCATGGCAGACAGGGCTGCCAGGGCGATCACATCCCAGGGGGCCTGCTCGCAGCCGGTCGGGGCTTGGACCAGCCACAGCTGCTTCCGGGTGATGCCGCCTGTCGCTGCCTCCTGGGAGGGCTGTATGTGTCGATCAATCTGCTCCCGGATGTATGTATGTATGTATGTATGTATGTATGTATGTATGTATGTATGTATGTATGTATGTATGTATGTATGTATGTATGTATGTATGTATGTATGTATGTATGTATGTATGTATGTATGTATGTATGTATGTATGTATGTATGTATGTATGTATGTATGTATGCGTGTCGAAATCGTCTCCCGCCGGAGGTATGGCGGTCTTGTGCGAATTCGGATGCCAAAAAATATTTTTGAACACTTTTATGCTGAACCGACTTATAAACACATACGTGCATGTATGAAATTCCCTCTCAACATACAAGCTCCATACTTACCCGCATTCCTGTGTGATAATTTCAAAAATGTTATCTAGCCCTTTCAATCCTGCCATTCCCTTAGCACCTTCGATGTTATCTAATTCTTCGTCGCCGTGTTCGCCATCATGGTTGGCGAATGGCATGCAGGTCTCCAAGTCCACGGAACCTTCGGGCGATGGTGGGTGCAATTCAACAATCTTTTGACATCGCACTATACCGCCTCGGGACTTCCCCACATAGGGAAGGCTTCCCTTCATCCCTATTGACATCGCTGTGGAGCTGTATGGCTCACGTAGAAGACTTTAACGGAAGTTAGGAACAGAGTCAAAGCGTACAGTACGGCATCCATCGCCAGCAGTACGGCATCACACCCCACAGATCGCAGAATCCTCCCTTCCTTCGAGGAACCGAGGAATATAATGAGGCAAGGGAGAGAGGCGAAATGAAATGCAGGGACGAAAAAATTGTCAAATACACGGTGCTTAGTGGTTTTGCTTTGGGGAATGGTATGTCTGTATGTGTGTATGTAGTGTCTGTGTGTGATTATGTGTTTGTGTGTACGTGTGTACGTGTGTACGTGTGTACGATCAACACGTAGCGGTCGCAATAGCAGTGCGCCACGATAGGGGCGTGGCTTCGACTGCGTGCGGCTTCATCTTTTGATCATCATCGTGAGAGAGTGGCTTTGCCTTTGATTATCACCGCTGCGATGATTGGCGGCCAGCCGTTACATAGCTGAAAGAATAGCAGACAATAAAAGACAAAGATCTGTTCTTAGGCGTCAAAAAAAATGCATTGCCATTGACGAAGTTGCGCCAAACCACCACCCCCATCGAGGCAATCCGCCCCGCAAACCCTAAGTTGAGCCCCCCGGTCCTTTAAAAAACACCGCAAGCACCCTGTAAGGTCATCCTCGGGCCATCTGCACTTGGCAATGCAACGGAGAGGGCGCAGCGTCCGCTTCCCGTTTGAGCTGTTTCAAGCCGTTAACCGACCCTCGGTACAGCTCCTTTTACATTATAACTTGCCAATCCACTTCGCTTGAGTCGCTATCCACGGCTCCCTACACAGTCGCATCCACGGTTCCCTGCCAAACCCATCCCCCTATTCCCCCCCGGTCCATGTGGCCATCCCGACCCATCTCCCCTCGCGAAATCAACACATACATACACATACGTACATACATACATATGTACATACGTATGTGTATACACACAAACATGGTTTGGATACACGTCTGTGGCGATACACGGCGATTACGTGGTGCGCTGGTTCGTCAGATCCAGATGAGATGCTACAGCTGATACAGACAGTACGGCAACAGCAGCATCAGCAGCAGAATCAAGGGGAGTTGCCCTCCCAGCAGCAGCAGCAGGATGCAGAAGGCGGTAGCGCGGAATTGCAAGCTGGAGTGACGCAACTGCCTGCGGAGCCGCCACCGCCGCAGCAGCGGCGGGTTAGCTTCGCAGCGGACACACGTGGCGGCAGCGGCGAGGACGTCGACGGAGGAGGTGCGGAGATGCCGCCGCCGCCGCCGCCACTGGCGGCAGGGCTGCCGCGGCTGCGCATGGAGCCCAGGCGCAGTGAAGCTGCCGCCGCCGCCGCGGTGGCGGCGGCGGTAGCCGCCGCTGCCTTGCCGACGGCAACGGCAAGGAGTCCGGTGATGCAGCAAGGCGGGGACCCGGCAGGCAACGTCGCAGATGGCGCCGGAGGCAGCGGGCCTGGCGGAGACGAGGATGCTTCGAAATCGGAGCCAGAGGCTCCGCCGCCGCCGCCGCCGCTGCGGCGGCAGCAGCGACACCTAACGGAGGCTATGATCCGTACACTCAATGCTCGTGTGGCGGGAGAATTAATCCACCCCCGGCCGCCCGCGCCAGACCCGTTTGGTAAGAACAGGTTTTAATAATGAGCGCGTCCGTACCGGTGTACGAAAGATGTGTATGGCTGGTACGGATTACCGGGCTCTGTCAAGGGCTATGGGGTTGTACGGTCACATGGAGTCACGAGTACCCCGAAATACGGCCACGATGTTCATCTATCTACCGGGCCGCTAAGTGAAGAATTCCGTCGTAGCAGTGGCCCCTGTGCTGCTGCTGTTGCTGTTGCTGTTGCGCAACGTGGGTCCGTTTCCTGTGAGGTTTCCTGTGCTGTGCGGCGGCGGTGGCGGCGGCGGTGGCGGCGGCGGCGGCGGCGGCGGCGGCGGCGGCGGCGGCGGCAAACACCGCTGCCTCGCCAACGGCAACAACGAGTCCGGTGATGGCGATGCCTTCCCCTCCGGGTGCTACACAACAGGCTGTTGTGCTGCGCATGCGATATGCGATCGATGCGCTGTGGGAATCATCCGATAAAAATGTCCGTATCAAATTGGAGTAAAATCCCACGAGGAGGAGGAGAACTTTTTTCCCTTTTCTGGAACGGTGCATACAACATTTGCGCACTTGCGACGTGCGTCCTTGCTGCGTCCTTGTAATTGTGATTGTGATTGTAATTGTGGGCCTGATTATGCGCCGCACTATTAGGGGATCTGGATCATGGCGAGCACCTGGGCGGGGAGGGCCCCGTCACACCCTCCGCGGCTCGCGCCCGGGCCATTTTGGCGACGATGGGCGGTACCAAGATGGACATTTCGGAGCTGCGGACGGACCCACGGGTCAGTGCTGTGGACCAGCTGTTGGCGCCGCCGGGTGAGCAAGCTGTAAATGGCTTAATTCCTACGCCATAGATCTACGGCATCCAATATCGTGCGCCGTATGTCGTGTGTCGTGTGTTGCGTGTTCGGTCTGGCTAAGGCTGATTGGCACCTTCAAGGAGTGATACTTTCCCTATGTATGTATGTTTGTATGTTTGTTTGTATGTTTTTTTGTCCTCTCCTCCGCACCGATGTACTGCAGCCTCGTCACTTCTGGCGCTGCTCTACTTGGCCAGTCGCCAACCAGTTCCCCACCCGGAGGACTTCCTGACGGGTACGGATCTGCAGTACTACAACGGGGCAAGCGCAGGAGCGTACGGCGGCGGCGCCGCCGTCGGCGCCGTCAGCCCGCTGAGCGGCCGTCCGCCCGCCGGCGACCTGTTCATGGACTTTGGTTCGCCGGGCCGCGCGTTGCACGGTCAGACGTACAGGCACGTCGAGGCGTGGAGTGTACGGGATGCTGGGCTGGTTCTGGAGCGCCAGGCGCGAGAGATGGAGCTGGCGGGGAGGTACCGCATGCCGGCGGCGTACATTGAGGTGTGAAGTACGGAAGTACGGAAGTACGAAAAATTAATTGTATAAAATGTGGTAGACATGGGTATTGCAAAGTAAGTGTTCGAGGCGGAGCGATTATTATTCTAGTATGAGGCTAAATGTAAACCTATGCCGTACGATGGCCGTACGATGGCTAAATAGGCATTGGGTAGCCTAGGGCAGGGCGGGGCAGGGTGGCTTAGGGTAGCGTGGCTGACTGGCGGAATTATCCATGGTTCGGGATCCACGAGAACATGCAGTGTGGATCTCCTTTATTTTCTAGGGAGCCGCTTGCCTGGTTTGCTCCATTGCTTGCGATATCTGATACCTGATAAACTAACCGTCAACCAACCTCTTCATGTCGTATTATATCGCCAACCATTACTCCTTTTCACGCGCACATGCACATGCACATGCACATGCAGGCGGATAAGGCCCTGGGGGAGCGCCTCAACCTGGATGATCCAGATTTGGAGGATCGGGCTGATGAACTGCGGGTGCGTGTGTATCTGTGTCTTTGTCTGATTGTCTGTCTGTCCGTCTGTCCACGCCGCCGGCTGTTTGCTGGTCTGCGTACGACACATCTGCACGGTGCCGTTGTTGTTGACGGTGCATGAGCGGCACATGGACAGAGTAAACAAAACAATTCCCGCCAACCTTTCTTCACCTCCGTTCGACAGACATACATACATACATTACGTACATACATACATACATACGCTGCTGATGCGATTGCTGCTGCTGTGGGGCGGCTGCTGTGGGGCAGCTGCGTGATCCTTACATGAAACGTTTCCAGTACGTGTGCATACATACGCACACGCACACATATGCAACTAATTCTTTTATCGACATGTATGGCATAATAACTTTGACTCGCTCTGGGTCTTTGATCCTCGTTGTGTGCGACTCGCTGGGCGGCCATGTATGGCGGTGGCTCATCCATGCTGCTTCGGCTGCTTCGGCTGCTTTGGCTGCTTTGGCTCGTGGATTTCAATCCATCTACAGGAGCGCTTGCGGCGGGAAGCTTACGACGAGGTGGTGGGCAACTGGGGGGAGGGGTAAAACGGGGCGAGGGGGCAAAAAAGTAAGGCACGGGTCTGGGAAATGAAGTCCAAGAGGTAGTTGGGTGGTTGGGTGGTTGGATGGCTGGGTGGTTGGGTGGTTGGGTGGAGACGGGAGAAGAACAAGCAAACTGAGAGCAGGCACAAGCGTTGAATGGCAGAGAAAGGAGAGGGAGAGGGAGAGGGGAGGGAGAGGGGCGGGAGTGGGGAGGGAGTGGGGAGGGAGTGGGGAGTGCTGTGGAGGTGCTAGAGGTCCGCGGGTTTGGAGGTGCTGTGCTGCGTAACGGCGGGGGGGACTTGGTGGTAAGGGTGTTGGTTGCTGCCTACGTACCCTGTGCACTGCGGCGTCGACTCGACTGATCCATTACCCTTTTATAAACGTAGCTGTCTGTTGTTGTTGGTGGTGTTGTTGTTGGTGATGGTGCTGTCGTGGACGTTTCTCAGCACGTTTTTGAATATATTCAAACTGCACGACCTGAGCTGCGGCCCCGCAGCTGCTCCAAGCGGGAGAGGAGCTTCGGGAGGCTGAGCGAGAACGCTATGGCTACGTTCGAAGTGCGCCGATGCGGGAGCCAAACGCGGCAGCGGCGGTGGGCGAGGAGGAGGGCGAGGAGCAGGAAGGGCGCGGGCGCGGGTAGGGCGCGCACGCGCGGACGACAACTACGCGCGGCGCAGGCTGCCGGCGCCTTATATGTCAATATGCGTGCAAATGTATATTGCAATACAAGGATACAGGAGCTAATAGGTGTGTAATAATAAAATCAGTTTTTTGAGAATCGTAATTGCATAGGGCGAATTGGCTGCGCCCGTCTGACCTTCTGACAGGCATGTAGCCAGCAGGGCGGAGCGTATTTCGTGCCTTTTTCTTTCGTTGTGCTGTGCTAGGCCTGGCTAAGATATATCTTGTTTCTTGGGGTTCTTTGCTTTGTGCGGGAATCGACCGGCAAGCTCTAAGGACATGCGCTGCAATTACTGTTCGTTATAGTGTTACTATGCGCTTATGTGTGGTGATGGGTGAGTTCGTGAAAGCTGTTTTTCTTCCTTCTTCAGCTGATGCTTGATAGCGGTCAAACACACTTCGTTGTACATTCGCACAATTCGTACATATATCTTCACAGCCAGTCGCGGGCGTCGGTCAGTCCTTATTCGGTTCCTCAGCTTGCAAAGGCGGGTGACGCCTTGTCACTGCTCATCAGCTCTTTAATATTAAGCTTGGCTTTTGTCCCTGCTGCTATTGCTGCTACTGCTACTATACCTCTCATCATAGGATAGCTGCTACTGCTGCTGTTGTTGCTGCTGCTGCTGTGTAGCGTGCGTCACCGATCCATACAGCGCTGAGAAGCGCCCCGCCGGGTAGACTTCTTCAATTTTTTCACAAAACAAGTGCACCATGGTGTGACGTTGTGTGGGGTCGTCAACCACCGAGGCCGAGAACAGCCTTTCGCGCATTCGCAGGACCGTTCCGATCGTCGGGCGGGCGACTGACCCGGGCCCATCCGGACTACCTTCTTCACGCCCGAACAACAGGGAGCCTGAAGGAACTGATAACACACTTGGAGCACATTTCTATTCAGTGAAAAACACACTTACCTACGCTTGCTTCCTCATCCTGGTGGCATCTATATATATACAACAGCACTTTCTCCTCGCCGCGCACTTCGTTATTTAACAGACAGACAGACAGACAGACAGACAGACAGACAGACAGACAAACAGACAGACAGAAAGGCAGAGAGACAGACAGACAGACAGACAGAAAGGCAGGGAGACAGACAGACAGACAGACAGACAGACAGACAGACAGACAGACAGACAGACAGACAGACAGAAAAACAACCAAGTATAGAAGAGACAATCTGGAATTCAGGAGGGACATGACGATGCGGAGTGCAGCACGGTCACGGACCGGGGTCAGGCCAGCAATACGGAGTCCGGCCAGCAATGCGGAGCGGCTCGGCCTTCGTGCCATCCGGAGGCGGGTTGCGCAGGCCATCATCGCGTTGGTCATCCTGATCGTATCCGCCGCTGCAGCCGCCGCCAGCGCTGTCATGAGAGTCGCCGTGGGGGCGACCCCGGCCTCTCAGCTGCCGCCAGCCGGCCTGGCTATCCCGCCGCCACCGCCGTTGCCGCCGCCGCCGCCGTTGCCTGTGTTTGCTGCTACAGCTGCCGAACGCGACCATGGTAGCAGTAGCGGTAACAGCAGTAGCTCGTTACGGCCAGTGCCGTCCAGCGGTGTTCCCGGGTTGCCCGTAACAACGGCTGCAGCAGCGGCGGTGGCGGCGGAGGTTCCACCGCGGCTGCTGCCTGGACCCAACCTTACACGCGCTCCCAATCCTGATCTCTTTGATGTATCTCCCGCATGCACCGCCGGGGTGTACGGCACGCCAGGACTACCGGACTTTGTTGTGTATTGCGAGGACCGAATGACAGGTACTCGGACACGTTTCGGTTCGGCGCGCGGTGGGGGCGTTTCTGGGGGGGCCCGGCCAAAGGGCTGGGAGGAGGTGTGCTTTTTGCGATGGGGACCTTGTGCTAGGTGTGTGCAGCACGTAGCTGAGTTCTCAGCACCTCTACCTCTATCTAAAAGAAGAAGAAGAAGAAGAAGAAGAAACTGTGTGCCCAGCCCGAATGTAATGTCCTGGGGGTCATCATATCATGGGATCTGCAACCACCGATCGGTGTAAACTTTTTCGAAATCATGATACAACACCGGCCTTTCAGTACACGTGTCTGGTCGCCCACATCGTGTGGGGGCTGACGAGCCGGTGAAGATGATATAATGATTGCTCCGGGGCCTAGGACAGGTTCAGGTAATCAATAAGTAGATTTTGCACTCTTAAATTCTCTTGCCTTGGTCGATCTAATATGGTCCTCTCTTGGCTGGCCTAGAGAGTGTCTTGGTGCGTGTATGGTGGCATGGCGGCAGCTCCACCCGGTGGCCCGGTGTGCTCCTCTTCAAAGTCCGGCATTCAGTTAACATACCTGAATCAATTGTTAGCCAAAATATTGAAAATTCTAGGACTAGTATGCTTGGCAAGACAAACTTGTGTGTATGTCATCCCGCCCCGCCGTACCGCCCGCCCTCTGCTCTGGGTTAGTCCGCGTACCAGCACATCCAATACCTGCTCTTTGGTCCTCAAGTTCTCTGCACTTCCTCTCACTCTTCGCTCCTCCTTCCCTCTCGCTTGTGCGCGGGCGCTTTCGTGTGTGCGTGTGTGTGTGTGTATGTGTGTGTGCACGTTTCTTTATTTGGGTCGTGGCACATACACGCAGGCCGCAATGTGTCGTATTGGCACGAGATTCCGCTCAACCTGACGACCGACCCACGGGACAATTCCACGACCATGTGGGTCACTGTGGAGATCCCCAAGGGCACCAACGCCAAGATCGAAACACAGGTATGGGCATATATGGCGGCGTGGGATCTGTGCGTGTATGTATGTACGTATGTGTGTATGTTACACCTAGCAGGGCTATGTAATACACACACATACACGCCCATGGGCCTTCGGCTCGTAAGGGAAGTTTTACAGGTATGGGGTCACGCACCCCCAACCATGTAACACACACACACACAAACACATACCCGCCAACTGACAGGGGCTATCGCTGGCGAAAAATTTAGCTAACCTGTCCTGTCCTGTGTCCTGTCCGCTCTCATGACGGAAAGACCGCTGAACTGAAGCACTCTCCCGAACGCCGAATAGGGGCGCGAGAGGCCTCTGCCTGTCACCTCCTCTTGCTCGACCTAGAGACTGCTGTATGGGCGCGTGCTGAGCAGCACGGCTACAGCTTTGTGGATTGCGATGCCATAGCCATTACTCAGCTGCAGCTACGCGTGTCACGCTAGTATTATGCAGTATGCATGGGTAGCAATTATGCACGTGAAGTGAAGTAATTACGGCTTTCTTTGGCATATTTGCAAGTTTGGTTTACCCCTGGCCTCTGGGCTACTGAGCCCTGAGGGGCTTGTGAGGCCTTATGCGTATAATGCTCCTAACCCAGCCAGCCTACATACACTACCTGTTACTGCACATCCTTGCACACGCGTGCTGCTGCTGTTGCCTGTTGCTGCTGCCATGCTACTGCCGGCTGCTGTTGCCATGCTGTTGTTGTCGCTGCTGTTGCAGACAATGTGGCCTAAGGCACCCATGGCACAAGCCACCGTCGATGGCATGGCCGATCCAACGTAAGACTCTATCGTACTATAACCACCTGCCGCGCATCGCCGGACCTGGGTTTCGTTGGTCATTTGACAAGGGGTCGAAAGTTGCGTTGGCCTTATCTTCAGGTTTTCATGAGAAATCATCGTTCGTTACACACTAAGGGTACCTGCAAGCAGTAAACAGCCGTCTTCAATCGGTAGGTAGGCCGGGTGAGGGCCGGCTACCGCGAAGGCTATCGCTACGGCCTTGACGCCTACAGCCTCACGGCAACCACCCTATGTAGCTACAAAACCCGAAAATCAGTCCTCCAAGCACTCGCGAACTCCTTAACTGGCACCAAGTGCCGTACCAACGCCCTTACGAGGGCACAACTCCTCTGAGTTCACCGAAAACCTTGGTTTTCTAGCGTTGCACTCAGAAAACCTTCAGATAAACAGACAAATTGGTTGATCCTTAGTCACCCGAATGAGTCCTGGTTCCAGCAATTCTTTTATTAATCGTCATCGACATCTCAATTTCCCTCTTTGCAAACTCCTTCCTGCCTGCTGCACGCCTCCCCCTCGCTCCCTCTCCCTCTCCACAACTTCCCCCCATCCACAATATCGCCCGAGCCTCCAGGAGAGCTCGCACCCCACAGCGATTGCGCTTCTATCGAGCAGGGCCATCGATGGTCAACTACGGCGGCATTCCGCAGACCTGGGAGGCGAGCGACCTGCCTGACGCCCTGACGGGGCTGCCCTCCGACAACGACCCTCTGGATTTTCTGGAGGTAGGTCTGTAGGGCTGTTTGGGTGAGGCTGCGTGGAACCAACGGGGGTGCGGAAATTGTCCGTCAAGGAATGGAGCTGGACGCTGCTGCCTGCTAGCTGACTGGAGCGGCTTTGGCTGTCGAGGAGCGTAAGTAGGGGCAGGATAGGGGAGGAAGAGGACGGGCGATTGCGGCGAAATCGCTTTCCACATTGTGAAGGTAAGGCAACATGTCCTCAGCCCCCTCAGTGATTCAGTGAAAGGTCTACCTACCCCCTCCTCACTCACACATCATTACAAGGTGGCGGCAAACTGCATGTTTTGGGGTTGTCTTGGCTCAAACGCAACCCACAGATCGGCAGCGAGCCAATCCCCGTCGGCGGCGTCGTATGTGTACGGGTGCTGGGGGCTTTGGCACTTATAGACCAGAACGAGACGGACTGGAAGGTAGTGGTGCTGAGTACGAAAGACCCACGGGTCGCTCAATGGCGGGATATATCTGATGTGCCGCCGGAAATGCGACAGCAACTGTACGAGTTCTTCCGCACGTACAAGGTACGGCCCGTACCGCTGGCGCCGCCGACGCGATGGAGTTTTTTTTGTTGGCCAGTGCAATGTAAGGGGAGGTGCGATAGGTGGTTGCGCAGCGTTCGATTTCCCAACGGGCCACGGTCGGACAACATGCACCTCCTCTTCATCTCCCTATAGGTGTCTGAAGGCAAGTCCGTCAACCGATTCCTTCTCGCCGACGGCCGCAATACCGCCACCAGTGGCCAGGAAGGCTGGAGCAAGGCGTTCTTTGACCGCGACGCCGCGGTGCGTGTCGTACGTGCCAAGCACGATGCCTGGCGGCGGTTGTTGAGTCCAAGAGGCTGCACCACGCCGCGCTGTGAGCAGCTGCTGGCCGCTGCACGGCAGGACGGCAGCATTGCCGCCGCCACCGCCACCGCCAGCGGCTCTGGCACCGCCACCACCGCGAGTGGCAGTGGCGGCAGTGGCCGCGGCGGTCGTACCGTCGGAGAAGGCCGCAACGGCAACGGCGGCACTTCAAAGGCGTGACGGAACCGCGGCTCATGTACTCTCAACGTCCTACGTACAAGCGGCAGTGCTATGCGATGCGACCCAGTTCAGCCACAACGGTGTGTACGGCATGAGGATGCATAAGGCACGAAGATACATTGTTTACATACGCTGGCCATCAGCCCCCAGACCATATGTATGTGGTAATGACCTGTCGTGCGTGCATTTTGGGTTGGAATGTGTGGGTTTGAACCACGCGGGTGGTACGTGCATTGCTGTCTGAAAGCTGTCTTGGAATGCGAACAGCGCACTGCAGCTGTCCTTAACACCCAAACATTGTATCAGCCGCGCCATTGCGTGCGATAAAAAGAAGCAGCATGAAAGAAGAAAGAGCAGCACATGCCATACAGCCGGTACAGCTGCAAAGGGTTTCGGAAAGTCGGTTTCGTAGCAACTAGTAAAGCCAGAGTTGCAGTAGCTGGTGGAGAGTAGCAGCAGCAGCAGTAGCAGCAGGGTCGATCAATCGATCTCTGGGCTAATGGTGCACCTACCCGCCCTATCGCCGGTGTGACCTGCCGCGTCTCACCATGGCAACAACGCATCACTGGCATGTCTGGTGTACCGCGTCTGGGTTTACCTGCATGTGTGTGTATTACTCCTTACTTGTCCGGGCTTCTTGCGGCTGATCCACCCCCTGACAGCTCCTGACAGATTGTTGCTATAACCTTGCTAGCTAAAATGCCATCCATTGACATAATTGTCAGTTGACCTCGAGCCCCAGTATACCTGCCTACCTGGTGATGTGGTTACTGTGATAGCGGTTAATGACATGTAGAATGGCAGTTAGAATGGCAGTTAGAATGGCAGTTAGAATGACGCTGAATGGTGGTGAAGACTGCCGATAGATGCATGGCTGTTGTGTAGCAGCTGTTGTACAAGCAATGCGCCACGTAGGAGCAATCAATAGGCGTGCTAAAGCGCTTTGTGCGGACTGCAGATTGCTGTAAGCTTCTATAAATGCATTCTTAGCTGTTTTTGGTTTTAACAATATGAGCTGCGATGAGGAAATGCCGACGGTGATGCAAGAATACCTTTGCTAAGCGATCTTCGTCGTCGTCCAGCGACGTGTTAGAATCTTCCAATCAAACTGTAGACCTAGCTTGAATTTTTCAAGTGGATGTTGATTAGACGAGTGATGTCAAGAGCCCGTAGAAATACTGTAGTGGCGAAGGGCGATCGTCATTAGCAAAACCATCGTAATTGTTCGCCATCGCCACCATAATTATCATCACCATCACCATCACCATCACCACACATACCAGCAGCTTAATTATTTCCATCACTCACAAACATGCCCGGCGAATAGCGAGGTGGCGTGGGGTCGCGGCTGCGGGTCTGGCCGAATAACAGACACCTAGCAACAACAGCTGTAGCTAAGCCTAAACCTCTGAACGAACGTCCAAGGAATGTATCTGCAGCCCTTGATAATAAATAGGACAAGAAAACCGACACCCTGAAAGAGAGATTCAGATTAGTAAATGAACCCTTACTGCGACTCAAGGGCCGATGAAACCCCAGGACGCAGCAGCGCGCATGCAGGTAGGTAGGACGGACAATTCCTCGCTCTAAAATTGTGAAGGGATTCGTTAGTAGCCTAAACTTTTTCTCAACAAAAAAAGAACTTCTTGTGATGATAAATAAAGTTTCTACCTGCGTTGCATTTAAGCAGCCGGTCCAACAGCACGGCGGGCAACATCCCGGTGCATGCGCGTGCGACGAAACGAAGGCTGCTGTCGGTCGCGATCGCTAGCACATTCACATCGCGATCGCTAGCCCAGCAGCTGCTGGTCAGCGAACAACACGACTACTATCTACATGTGCATATCATCGAGAGATTGTACCCAACGCACACGAGAAATAGAGAACGTTTCTCTCTTTATCTCTCAAATAGAGCGCGAGGAAGAAGAGCGCACACAAAGCTATCGATACCTCTGAGCAGACTTCCAGACTTTTCCATGCGGCTTGCTTCTTCCTTCATCAGTACGCTAAGCTGATAGAAAAAAGGCGTAAAATCTAATGAAAGGAACGGAAGACCCATCCGGCCATCAAGCAAACTGCTGCTAGCTGCCTGACGCGCGCCTACCCCACCAGCTCATTGCATGACCGCGACTGCATAAGAGCACGCTATCGACCTGCCCACATACCTACCAGTTACACGACCGACCAAGTAACGACTTACGAAGTATGACTCCAAAACAGCAGCCTTCAACAGACAGAAGCATGGGAGCCCAAATAAAAGCGAGGAAAATATGATGCCATGAAGCTTTCCGCCCGAATACCGACAGGGGTGGGAAGATAGAGCGAGCCGCTTCGCTTCGTTGTCCATCTCTACTCGCTCAAGGTGCATGTACGGCAACTTCTGCTCTTGAAATAAAGTCCCCTTCACGTGCAAGCTCCATCCGCGATTGCAACACACCGCAAACTACGAGTCTTGTTCCCATTGGGCTGCCTGCATGCGGCAGCACTTACTGTTCCTAACACTTCACAGCGTTTCTATGAGCCAGCTAACTCCGTCAAACAGATAGGCACGCAACAATGCCATGAACATACAAACCGCTCTTGAATATTCCCCTTTGATCTACCCGCCCAGCTGCGCTGTGCGCCTTGATAAGAGACGGCCAATCTAGGGTCATTCACCTCAGGTAGCTACCCCCAGATAACTGCACCCAGATCTAGACAATGATCATCATCGAAACTTCTGCATGCTGAATTAGATATTGTAGTTTTAGGACGAATTCGACGGCACACGCAGCAGCAGCAAGCAATAGCAGCGTCACGCAACCATCATTATCACCGCCGCCGCCGCCGCAGGAGCAGCAGCAGCAACAGCAGCAAGACGATGAAAAACCCACGAGACATTTACAAAGGACAGGGACAGGCGCATTGGGAGGCAAACAAGGGGCTCGGCCGCAAAACAGCTGTATTTATTCATTCCGCTATGCCTTCGCCTACATGCCGCCGCCGGCACACGCACACGCAGCGATTTCCCACCCCAAAAAAGCACCCACTCCCGCAACATACGCCACGCATTGGTACCTTGGGTACCTTGCTTTGGGTCATGAATGCACCTCCTGGATTGGCCCCAAGGGGAGGTTCATATTAGCAGTTCTGTTCACCGCAAGACCTGAATATTTTGTAGACCAGTAGCAGCAAACACCCAAGCGAAGAGGTTCAAACGTTCACCGTTCATGCATGGACCGCATTATGAAGATAATACCGGCCACAGCGGAGCCAGCGGGAGCCAGCAGCAACAGCAGCGTACGCGAGCTCGGCCGCAGCAGCCACATACAGCAAAAGCAACTCGTACGTTGCGGGCCTCGACAAAAATGCGCATGCACGAGTGGCACCTGGCACAAATCAATCCCACTGTCCTCCAGGCCACGTGAGTTGTGACCAGCAGCCTCGCGCTTTCCCCGTCATTAAAAAAGCAAGGCGTGACAAGGCTGGTAGGTGCTCGTGCATTGGTTTCAGTGCGTGATGACCACACGCAATCAGCTAGTCAGCTAATAACGTAATCCCATTGTGACCCGCCTGCGGTCGTTCCATGCTCACTGTGGATTTCATGAAGTCCATAGTGCTGTACTGTACTGTACTGTACTGTGCTGTACTGTACTGTACTGTACTGTACTGTACTGTACTGTACTGGTGATCACCTCCACCAGTAACTCCGTGATTCAGAGCTAAAACCGGAGGCACGGAGAGCTGGCTGGCCGCTGTGGGGTCTCGAGCCAGCAAGACTAATCCATTTCCCAGGAGCTCATCAATTTTGCAAAAAAACACAATCCAGGTGCGCGCCATCGTGGCAAAACAAAAAGTAAAGGTATAGTATACAGTAATTTCGCGTTCATCGCAAGTTAAATCATTATCACGTTTCAATACGTACCATAACTCACGACAGCAGCAGGTAGGCCGCAATCGACCATTACATACATACATACGTACACACATACATGTATTCGTGCATGGCGCTAACAGCGCTTTGCATGCTTAATGGTTTCATTGCATATGCGCCGCACCTCTGAAGCTACCCTTTTTGCTTGGTTCAGCCAAGGGATATACAAGAACCCTCCAGTGCGCCCCTCCCGCATGCAGGTAGTTAAGTAAGGGCGCACAACAGCCAGCCAGCTGGCTGTCTCCATGTAACGAACATTGAGGCGGCCAAGCAAACAGATTTCCTTGCTGATGCTGATGCTGATGCTGATGCCCGCCTGCCTGCCTGCCTCCTGCCTGCCTACCTACCTACCTGCCTGCCTGCCCATCCGGCAAGTTAGTACATACATCTCGCATCCATTACTGAAAATACACATTTGCGTACTGTTTAAAGCTCTCTCGAGGGCTACCAGAGCTATCAGAGGGACGGGTGTCTCTCTCACCAGACACGGCAACCAGACGGAGGCAACCAGACGGTGCCTCACCAGACGTCGACCCGCGCCGAGGGGTGTTCATCAGCGGGCCACACGCACACAAGTGCCGCCACATACATTAGGACGACTCAGGCACCTGAACGAACCCATGCATAACGCCCCCCCCCCCCCGTCCCCACGGTACTTCTTAGACACACCAGTTGGCTGGTTGAGGGAAGTACGGACACGCAAACAGGCAACATCAGAGACGCTGGATGCACGTAGCAAGCAAGGGCCTAATGGTAGCCCGCTGTTTTGGAAGATGATGGGGACGTTCTGGTGGCGGGCTTGGGGCGCTTGGGGGCCTTTGGACTTAAAGGCGGTCGCAACGGCGAATCCGGGAAACTTGGTGGCTCCGGCGCCAAGGGAACTTGTGGCGGGAAACCGGGAGCCGAGGGAATTCTGGGAAACCGTGGGCTCTGCGGTGCTGCCGGGGGGGAGATCCTAACCCTTCGGGGTCGAGGTGGAAGAGGCATTGAAGGCAGCTGCGGTGTCTCAGGCGGCTTAGACGGTGGTGGAGGCCGGCGTCGCCAGGACCTCGGAGGCGGAGGCAAGGCGGGTGGTACAGGGCTGGGAGGAGGCCTTGGAGGGGGTTTAGGAGGTGGAGTAGGAGGGTGACTGGGAGGCGGTGTAGGAGAGGAAGGACGCGATATCGGAAGTGAAGTGCTGTGAGGGGGACTGGGAGGTGGACGGGGAGGAGGGCTGGGAGGAGGGCTTGGAGAGGGCCTAGGAGGAGGGCTGGGTGGAGGACTGGGAGGAGGGCTGGGGGGAGGGCTTGGAGGAGGGCTGGGGGGAGGGCTGGGAGGAGGGCTGGGGGGAGGGCTGGGAGGAGGGCTGGGGGGAGGGCTGGGAGGGGGCATGGGAGGAGGGCTTGGAGGAGGGCTGGGAGGAGGGCTTGGTGGACGGCTGGGAGGAGGGCTGGTGGGAGGGCTGGGAGGAGGGTTTGGGGGAGGGCTGGGGGGAATGCTGGGAGGAGGACTGGGAGGAGGGCTGGGGGGAGGACTGGGAGGAGGGCTGGGGGGAGGGCTCGGAGGAGGGCTGGGGGAAGGGCTGGAAGCAGGATTTGAAGGAGGGCTGGAAGCAATCATGGATGTCGTTGGTTGCATAGGGATCGACTGTGGGTCAGAAGGTTCGTTAGGAAGCGAAGGAGAAGTCGGGCTGTTGGGCATGTCGCCCAATTGAGGTTCCATGTTGGGATAGTTTACGGCAGGTTGCTCCGGTGGTGGGGTAGATGGGATAACTGGAACGGGTCGAGGTGGTGGCGGTTTAAATAAGGGAGGACTATTTCGATTTGGTGGTGGCGCCGGAGGTAACCGGGTAGGTGGCGGTGAGCGCATGGGTGGTGGTGGCCTTGGAGGTGGTGGTGGACTGGGTGGTGGTGGTGGTGGAAAATCAGTTGAGGCGATGTTTTGGAAAGTCAAAGTCCCGGCAGGACAGCTGTTGCAGCACGAATACCAGCCTTCCCCGTTGCCCTCACTGACTGAGAAGCGGCAGCCGCTGCTGGAGCCCGGTACACCAGATCGACAGATGTCGGACCATTGGGTGCAGGTGGGCCGTGCCTCATAGCAGACCTGCGGGCGATGTTAGTTAGACGGTAACAGATCACTTAGGTCAATATATATCTAGAGAGAGAGACATGTGTGGGATTGCCTGGGTTGTACGAGTAGGACAGCAGCGTTGCATATATGATGTGTGAAACAGGGGGGTATATCCGCTACCAGGCGAAACCCTGCCTTCCCCGGTATTTCGGGGCACCCTCATCCAGTCAACCTAATCAACTTCTCAGTGGATCGCTCAGGTTCCGCACCCACCACCAGCATCCAACGGAATCTGCCGGGTCAACAGCGGCCTAACTCCATTCCTGGTCGGCTCGCAGGTTAACTTTATCCCAGGTCACCACCGTCCATCAACTAGGGGCGCAATACCTTCCACCATCGGTAGGTTTTCCGACCTTGATAGGTCTCGATCCCGGGATCTCCCGGGGGCAATGGTCGCGCGTTACCAGTAGTGCCTATCCTCGTATATATATGATGCAGCTGACAATGGGTTTTGTGAAATCAGAAATCAGTTCGGTGCTAGTCTTAAGCAAGAGCGTAGATCTCTAAGGAGAAAAAACTTAATATGGGAAAATGGCGTATTCGATTTCGAGTTATGCCACATATCCGGGTTGTTTCCATCTGGCCTTATCGGGATGGGAGCGGCTTTCGTAGGGGTGGCTTGGCTATAGAATGGAGCGGCAGGGGCCCTGGGCGTGCTTGTTCTAGATGACCAATTTTTGCTACTCGAATCTTACGCACGTGCGTGCTTGGGTACAATGGGGCACTTGCACGTCTGTGTCGGTGTGCACGTGTACATATTTAAAAAATGGAATTGCACGCAAGGACAGGAACAGTGATTACGCCAGCTCGTATAGAAAATGTATGCATGGATCTGTCTGCATGCATAAGTTGTACGCTAGTCTGGGCTGATGTGCGGTGTTTTCCTTTCCTCCGTGGCTTTTAGGCGTTGTAGTATTGCCCTTGGGCCTTCGGCTCGTATGGGTAGTCTTACAGGTATGGGGTCACGCACCCGCAACCATGTAACACAGACACACATAAGTTGTACGGATGCACAAATGTACGGGAATGGGACACCATACGTATGTACTGCACATGTCGTGTTGGCGTTAAAGAGCATCTGGTCAACCCAAGGTTTGCGTCTAAGGAGAAAACATTCCACCAAGCGTCTTAGTATTTTTTAATCTGTTATATCACTTCCCACACTCACCTCAAGCCCTTCCACGGGACGTCCTAGGGATGCTAGGTCAGTGACCATTAGTCCAACATCGACGGCATCACCGTATGTGTACTGCATCGGGTAGTTGTCGTACCGACTCAGCTGCACAAAAAGTGAGAGCGAGAGGGATGGGGGTCGGGAGGCATTGTGAGTTTAAATTCTCAAGCATGCATACTTTTCACAGGATGCTGGTACGCATGAGCTTCACATTAGTGATAATAAAGCATCTGCTGGTCTTGCTGCTTGGATCGTGCTAAAGGATATATACTCCTAGCAACTCAATCCCGCCACCTAACGCCATTATGGACCGGCCAAAACCATCCATACAAACGACACAACGCACCGTATCTCCTCCAGCTGTCACTCTTGCAATGCTGGTCACGTTGCACTTGCCGGTGGCGGCTACAGCCATGAACGAGGGTGAAGAGAAAACAAAGCGGCAGCGTCGAGAAGCACGCAATGTGGCGCATGTATACAACACGTGACGTGTGATGTGGGTTGTGTGTGGATCCGGAGGTGGGGTGAGACATCCGGTGGCGGGCAGCCCGGTACTTGTGCATGTGGCAAGAGACGGTTGTGGTGGTGGTGGCTGCAAGGGCATGTGCACGATGTGAAAGCTGGAAAGATGCCACCCAGAGGTCAAAAGATGACAGGTGCACGGTGGTTAAGCTAAACATTCAGCTATGCAAGCGTGCTTGTGCACGGCAGTCAATTAAATTTTTTTACCAGGATCCAATCTCATGCATGCACTCGGCTACGTGTACACGTACGTGCACGAAGGTATTGTGGTCTTAAGAAGTTTTGCACCCCTGCTCACCCATGCTGATGGTCAGGGCATCGACTCCCATCCCCAGCGAGCTACAGCACGGGCTTGCCTGAAAACAGATATCAGTGCAATATGTAACAGAGCAAGGCAGCAGGACAGGAAAAAACACAAAGATCGGTACTACTACCAGCACCAGCACCAACAGCGGGCAACAGCGCCAACAGCAGGCAACAGCAACAACAGCAGGCAACGGCAACAACACCCGCAGGCTCGAGAGACTGCTCGCGAACAGGCTGTGTGAGATGGGTGTCCCCATACACACGTGATAGCATGCCAATCGAGGGGTAGCTAGGTACCTTTGTAGCGGGAAGCGATGGGCCTCCTCCCTCCCCAACCCGTCAAACAGGAGGAGTACTAAGCGAATCCCCCAACGAAAAGAGCAAGGCATGGAACCGATGGAGGCTCAGAAGGGGTTCTCGTTTGTGCCGTGTATCAAGTGCATATGAGCGACTGTGCACCTGTTGTATCCTGTAAAGCGTTTTTGAACGCCGCCGCTCCACCAAACCCCCCAATTCACCAAAAATCGAATGTACAAACAAACGTGGGATGCGGCACGCACTGCCATAAAGCATAATACATGCTATGATCGGACTGTATATGCCGTACCGTGCAGTTGCCCCTATTTTGCAGCTTGAGGCAGTAGACGATGATGGCGCGGCCTTTCATGCTCCTGCTAACACCCTGTGTGCAACGTGCACATGCACAGCGGGGGCAGAAGGCCAACTGAAATAACGCCACAGGGGGCTGTAGGCCGTTCAATGTATCCACAGGACAGACAGACAGGCATACGTTGCGTGTATGCGTGTGTATGCGTGTGTATGCGTGTATATGCGTGTGTGCGTGTGTATGCGTGTGTATGCGTGTGTATGCGTGTGTGTGCGTGTGTGTGCGTGTGTGTGTGTATGCGTGTGTATGCGTGTGTATGCGTGTGTGTGCGTGTGTGTGTGTACGTGTGTGTGTGTACGTGTGCATGTGTGTTGGCATGTAGATTTATTTGTTCCACAAGTCTGGGCCCCGGAGCTTAAGTCTTACCATGCGGTCCCCGTATAAGGGGGCCCCCATCACGCGGTTCTCAATTCGTTACCCTGCAAGTCCACTTCTTAGCGCATCGCAACCGGCTTAAACGACAACTGCATCTTTGCGCCCAGGATTACCCAGCGGTTCACCGCAGGCCCTTTGTAGAGCGCCGCTGCCAGCACCATGGCCCCAGCTTTAAACCCAGCCTCCCCAAGCCCGCAAGCCCCGAAACCCTGCGTGCTCACTCATGTTTCCCCCGCTCACCACAATCCTCCAGGGGCTTTCCTGACAGGTCCGACTGCACACGTCCTGGAAGGGAAAGATGTCGCCCTCGTCATCCGGTTTCTGAAGGAGGCTGCGGTGCAGGCGAACTGTCCCCACAGCGCTATCGAGCAGGGGCGGCGCAGAGTAGCGGGTTGGTGGAAGGGAGAACGGGGGGATGAAAGGCATGAAAGGCTATGGGGTTAAATTGGAGAGGAAAGGGGATAGAGTATTTAGCCGGTGCGGCACGTATGGCGCACGACACGTGCTGCTGAGGTGTTTTTGCCTTATGTGAATGAATGGGATAGTTGGTGAGGTTTAGCCTCCCCCGTGGCCATTAACCTGGCAGTCCCTAAGCTTCCATTTTACTTCGGGACACTGGTTTGGGGCTGCTGCTAGGTTTGCTGCTGGGGCGGCTACACTTGCCTTGATTATCTCCCGGTCATGATTAATAACGCGTTAGGTGTATGGGCAGGGCGTCTGTGAGGGCACCCCATGCAATGCCTTTCCGAGAAACTCCTTAGTCCGGGTTTCGATCCCATGCTCTTCCAGACCTTCTATCCCATCTCCGCCAGTCAAGGTAAAGGTTTCATTTCTTTCCTTCGCATCCTGCTTGCACAGCATGCACTTTCGAACTGGGGACCGCAAGTTAACTCCGCCTCACCGTTTCTCCATTTGTCGGGCCCCGGCGGCGAACGCGGTCCCGGAGTTGGCGGCAGCTGCGTCGCTCCGGTCTTCACTGGACTGCAGTGTACGATGCCGTGGTGTACGGTCACCTGGCGCATGAGGGAGCGAGGCGTGGTGGGGATCAAATTATAAACTGGCAAACTCAGACCTTAGAGGATCAGACGGGAAGAGATGTAAAAAAGGGACAACAAACCAAGGACGAGAAGCGATGTGAAGCGGTGAAGAGGAGGATGGGGAAGGGGGCACCGTCGCCAACGCCACCGGTACCCCATAGGAACAGTTGTGAATTGCATGCTCCATATACATAGCTATGCAAGGTCAGCGTGAGCGAGCCTTCGGCGTGTGTTAATGCCACGGAACCTGTTCATGCATTCCCGGCATCCTTCAAGAAGATCTCACATCGCCTGATGAAAATTGCACAACCTCACATGTGCTGCCGTAGATGTTTGCTGGTAAGGATGGATTGCTGGTCGGCCACATGCCTAGTGCAGATCTGCTACAACACCATATCGGACGATTCCAAATGGAGGGCAGGATGCTCCCGATCCCTTCAGAGTGAAGGCCAATTAGGCAGAGTGTACGGCACTCCGTACGTCGTGAAGTTTCCCTTTTTCACACCCGCATGGCTCATCAGACATCGACGCAACCCTAGCCGGAGCCCCATCCCCCGGCTTATTCTATCACACAGTAGCCGAGCGCAGCACATTGCACATTTGCCCGCCCCGCCCCGCCCCTCATTTCTCTCATTCCTCACTCATCTCCCTTCGTTTCCTCCAATCCTCTCCTCCGCGCCTTTCCCCGCATGCTCCTCCCTTTCCTCACTTCTTTCTGCGCAAGCGCCAGGGAGTGTAGGCCACGGCAGTGCGCCGTGCAGGGCCACGCAGACGAAAAGCGCGAGGAGAGGCAGCCGTCGCCTCAGAAGCAGCTTTGGGGCACGGGTGCCGTGCAGAACGCCGTGGGCATGTCTTCGTCCTCGTCCTGGCCCCAGGGCCAGCCCTGGCCCTGGGCACGGTACAAAGCCCGAACTGCTGCAGCCGCCGCTGGCAGTCACGGGTCTCATAACAGCCAGCCCAGTAACCAAAGCAGCCACTTGACGCAGTTTTCAATCCAAGCTTCCTCTGGCAATTAGAACCTTCGGCGTCCAAGTCCACGAGCGGACAGGTTTATGTTGATGTCACCGGAATACGGCTTCAAGTGGCTTGCAAAGCTGGAGTGAGTGAGGTTCTTTTCTCGTATGAAAATATTAGAAGATTCGGACAAGCTAAAGGGGATGCCCCTGTGTGGGGCGATATCTGATCGTGCAGTTTGGGACCGCGCCAGAGCAGCCCGGTCTATCTGGGGCTGAATCGGATTAGATAACTAACACCTTGATCAAAGGTTTGAGCGTGCTCAAGTAGGTGAGTATAGGCTGAGGTGCGGAGAGTTGGAATCGCAGGTACGGTTAGGATTATGACGCCCTGCGTACCGGTACACCGGGCAATCTCCTCCTTTCTAAAGGTACGACGATGTTCCATAAGTGTTCAACAGATCACTGTTTGTACTCCTTATAGGATAGCTACATGTGATCGCCAGCTAGCGTAGCCGGGCGTTCGTATAATTGCAGTTCATGCTAACGACATTATCACTAATGCAGGAAAAGAACAAACAGAGGAATTGTAACCCTACAGGAAATGCGCCATAGGACACTCCAACTTTAAGATAATCAGATCCATGTTGATGTACTGATATAGAGTTTGCCTCCTTACCCTAGCTGAATCGTTCATCTGAATCAGTCCATCACAATGTAAATCTTAGTACTATGTAAAATGTGGTATCAACTGAAAGTTAAAGTTGACCGCACTGTGATTATGTCAACCTCAGCAGTATCTCGCCAAGCATTACAGATGTTGATCGTCTCAGTTAGGTTGCAATACTTCAAAATATGATTGACTATGAGCGGCGATACAAGCGGCACACTAGTGTACGGGGACATTCGTACGTGAGGCGGGCGGGTGCGGGGGCCGTTGTTCACCCCAAGTAACCTATTTGGAGGGCTCTTGAGGAGCTAGTAATGTTGATGGATTGCTGCCGCTGTAATCCTCCTTCAAGGAACGCCTGGCGAAAGGTATAGAAGTCAAGGTATATAATTGTAATATTGAATAGACCATCAAACATTTTTTGTATAAATCGAAAACATCTATCTTCTTATTCATGAAGCCACCTCCATATGCGGTGATTTCGGTGCTATGATTGGTGCTTCCCCTTTTGCCCCCAGAAAATCTGCAGATTTTCTGGCAGACTTAACGCCAGCAATACAAGAAGCTCCAATTGAGTATACGCACCCAACTGCACGAATTCACCTTTGATTTTTTATAACATGATTCAGACACGCAAACAAGAACAGATACGTCCGTCTAACGCATGCAAACCTTGCAAATTAAGACGAAGCTGATTCGTGCCTTAGTGGAGGCATAAATGCAAAAAGTAAGAGGAAATGAAGCGTAGAAGAGTATAACCGATTGATACGGATATAGCAAAAGCAAGCGCGTTCCATTTCAGATGACACTATCGAAGAGAATTATGGAAAGTGCAAAAAGTACTTGCTAAGAATGGGTTCACATGCAGGCGATTCGGAGGTTTGCTCGACTCCGATCTGAGCGAATTGGACCCCGAAGCGAGTTGGGCTGGAGGGTCCTAAATCGTTTCATTCGTTCACCGCTTTCAAATCGGTAACATATGAAAATAGCATGCGGCTATAAGCTATATGATTAGAGCGCGCAGAGCGAGGCCATGTATACAGTACAACGATCGGGCGACATCACTATGACCTCCTAGACAGGGAAAGGCATATCTATACAAGGCTGGAAAGCAGATTCGGTATTTCCTTTTGTGTGAGCCCATGGCGTTGCTGAAGCAGACGAAGCCAAATATGCCGCCTCAGCAACGCCATGCGGCCGCATACCAGTTCAATATATTTACGCTTACATGTCTCGGCCATAGCCGGATATGACAGGTGCAGAAAACCGAATCACGGATGTGTTTGCGTATAAATATTGGCAATTTCCTACGACCTGCGATTCGCGGCGTGCGACTTGCGACTTTGCGAGTTGTAAGCCGTACGCAGAAATGCACTTCGCCTCGCACCCGCAATTTGTTTTGCGCCACCAGCCATATAATACCAGCGCTAAGGTTCCAATAACGCGCCGAGCTACCAAGCACTACCAAGCAACCTACGCGCAACACATTTCAGAAAACGCTTAATGTCAGTTGACCGTCCCCTCCGGTGGCTTGCGGCCCAGAAAACATTCCGCTGGGCGCCAATCATCCCGCAATTTCCCTACAAACGACGATATTATAACTCGCCCGACTGACACGGCTCACTACATGCATGCGCCAAAGAGCCCAAGCTTCAGGGGTTTGCTTTGCGTCGTTGCGGACAACAACATCGTGGATAAACTTATTATCCCATGTCGTCATGGCCCGGTGGGAACCATCGACAGCAATGCGTTGATAATCCTGTATTCCCTGCTGCTGCCAATCCAGCTCACGACGAGTTCACAGGAATGCAGGCATGCACTTCAGCAGCGTTGCCCACATCCCAGCTGTGCACGATTTTTATACGCAGTTCTAGAGTAGTGTCTCTGACAAATGTGCAATTAATACCTCAACTAAGTCCCTACAGATGCCCTAATACAGAAAACTACTCGTCCACCCACTCGTCCGTGTCACCTTTTCGAAAAAATAAAGAAAACTACGTCCTCTATTCGCCATGTATATCTAATCCAAGGAAACGTGCTCCCGCTCGCTGCGGCTATCATCACATCTCTCCGACGTCACCACTTAGGCCCAGTTTGCAGCTTGTATGTTTAAATTGAAAGTGACGAACCTTTAAACATCCCTCAAGCATCCATAAACAGCCAACCATCATGAAACAAGTTGGATACATATACAACACCACACATGCGCATCACCTACCCCATGCTGCTCCTGTTGCTCCAGCTGCTCCAGCTGACTAGCGATCCAGCTCCGTTATAGGTTCGGTCCTGGAAGCATGAACATCGGCCCAAGAACGTAAAATCCACGCCCACACAGTCTATGCACGCCCTCTCCCGCCATCGATCTTCCTACCGGGATTTGCCTGCTGCGCCCTATGTGTGACTAATCCTAGCATATGTGCGTGCGCCAGCTGACCAGCTGAAGTGCGAAAAGTAAGCCGAAAATGAATGATAAGAAGCAGAAGCATGGGGGAAAACCATGCGGGCGAATGCGTGTGTGGCTGGGATCGATTATCATCCCTGGTTGCCTTTCGCTACCACTGGTAACGTTCTCCCCCCCCCCTGCTGGGCACGTGCACGATGATCGTTCGTGTGCACGGAAAAGGACAGTGCCAGCGTATTGAGCAGGCCAGGCGGGGTTATGCTTGCTGAGCAGGTGGCCACCGGCCGCTTAACGCTAGCACGAATCCACATGCCTGCAGTTCGGACCTCCCTAGGACTGGAATGTCACGTACAAGTTGTACTTGCATGGAGGTCCACGGAAAGTGTACGGCCATGCATGTTCATCCCCCGGCGCACTGCTGCTGGGCACTGCAGCAGCAACGTGGCATATGTCAGGCAATAAGGAGTGAGACACGCTGGTGCTGTCATTAGCACCAGCTCTCAAAATAATGATTTGTGACAAGCTGAGCCTTGCTACCTTTGCATAGCAGTCTGCCAGGCAGTCAGCGCCTTTCTTCATCCCTTTTCTGTTCCGTTAATAAATAGCCAGCCGCAAGCCAGGTGAGCCACTGCGTGCACTTTGCTAGCCGCATAACGCCGGCCACACACCTTAATCAGGCAAGTGGACACCGCCAGCAGCTGATGGACGTTGACCCAATTCCCAGCATGCTCACCTCCATGATGATGTCAAGACCAATAACATCATTTCTGTCTTAGCTAGTAGTCTTAGCTAGTACCATCAGTGTGCACGTACGTACAAGCATCTCGCACATCTCAGTTGCAAGCAGTACATGTACGGGACTCCCATCGGCCTTGGAGGCCATCCGCCGCCAACGATGGAACGTCCACGCCGCACAGAGATCTATCTCAGCCACGAACACGGCCCCGCATTATTCCTTGCTTATGCACCACCACTTATTCGAGCATAATATCCTCTCCTATCTTCTGGATGTCAGATGGCACTTGGCAGTTTGAAGAAAGATCTTCATTGGATGGTTGCCGGAGTTTTGTTGTGTAGTAGATGCATGCGTGCTTGCGTGAACGAATGGTTTCTGGCGGCTGCTAATTAGTAGCCGCATCAATCGTGCCTTATAAGGCACGATTGATGCCTGTTCCCTGATACCCTGAACGCCACTCATCAGCATCCTACAATACGATAAAGTGAACAACTTTGTTTGGGACGATCGCCAACGACATCACAGGCAGGCAAGAAGATTCAGGCAGGCAACAAGCAAGCAGTAGTGTCCCATCACACGGATCTTTCGTCATGCACACCAGCCCGTGCATGGAAGACACGGCTTTGCTCTAACAACTCCCCATCTATCAAGACGCCGCAACAATGGTCGCCGGGGCTCTTTTCTCCCACAGAAGACTAGCCCAAGCGATTAACATCACAGATCCATTGAAGGAAATCTATCGTAATCCGCGGTGGAAGGGCGCCATAAAAATTCCGGCATCCAACATCGTTGTTGCCGGTTGCACACATTTGAATCGTAAAGCATCATCATTAATATCGCCCTAAGCATTCTGCACCCCTGAGAAGAAGGGGAGCAAATACCCGCTACTGAATAACTTAACCATCATCTTACAATGCCTGTTCTTATGCACCCCATCATGCGTTAGTTGCTCCTTCCCTATAAACTCATAGTGATTACGTCTTACCGAAAACTTACATAAAACCCTAAAACCCTACGAGAGTGGGTAGCTAACTCGTAATTAAAGCTTAAGAGAAGTCGCATTGGGTTAGCTTAAACAGGCTTAAATGCCGTGCGCCGGGCTGCATCGCCAATGTCTTGTCATGCTTTGTAGCCAGCCTAGTTTACATACCGAACAGTCCTCAGCGTCTTGGGCAGCTGCCAGTTGGGCAGCGTCTTTCAACCCAGGGCCGCTTTGCAGGTTCTTGGGCTCTGGTACGGCACATACATCCGGCTAAATAAGCGGTTCAGGTGCCCCTAGAACTTGCAGCAGTTGCCACAAGCCAGGTGCTGGCGAAGACATTGGCTTCAGGAGAGGTGCACAGCAAATCTTGAAGGTAAAATAAAGGGCTGGAATGCGGTAAGGAAGGTATCGGGAAGCTACGGGGCGGCTTGGGGTGTCGGCTGGGAAGTATTTGTTGGCGGGGGGCTGGGTGGCGGATAAGGCGGTGGGCTAAATGGCGTGCTGAGCTGGGGGTTGAGAGATGGGCTTGGGGGACGGATGGGGGGAGGGCTACGCGGAAGGCTTGGCGTAGCGTTCGGAGGTAGGCTAGGAGGACAGCTTTGGGGAAGGCATGGAAACGGGCTGGAAGGTTGGTTGGGAGGTTGGTTGGGAGGTTGGTTGGGAGGTTGGTTGGGAGGTTGGTTGGGAGGAGGGCTTGGAGGAGGGCTTGGAGGAGGGCTTGGGGGAAGGCTGGGAGGAAGGATGGGAGGAAGGATGGGAGGAGGGCTGGGAGGAGGGCTGGGAAGTTGCGTAGGAGGAGGGCTGGGAGGGGGCCTGGGAAAAGAGCTGGGACGAGGGCTGCGAGGAGGGCTGGGAGGGGGCTTGGCAGGAGAGCTGGGACGAGGGCTGGGTGGAGGCTTGGCAGGAGAGCTGGGAGGAGGGCTGGGACGAGGGCTGGGAGGTGGGCTGGGAGGTGGGCTGGGAGGTGGGCTGGGAGGTGGGCTGGGAGGTGGGCTATTGAGCCGAGGGGCCGGAGCAGGTATGGGGTTGAGCCTGGGTGAGGATTGATTCGGTAGGGCGTCTTGGGGCTTGGGTGCTGGAATGGGTGGCAACGTGGCTGAAGGGCGAGGGGCCGGGACGGGGGGTGCCTTCGGTGACGGGCGGGGGGGAGGGGGCTTGCTGGGTGGCGGCTTAGGTGAAGAGCGTGGTGGAGGGCTGGGAGGCGGCCGTTTGGGCGGCGGCGGCTTCCGCAGGGGGGCTGGTGGCGTCTGGGAACGGTTTGTCGGAAGCGTGGTGTTAGAGCGAGGAGGGCTTGGTGGACGCCGACGCGGTGGTGATGGTGATGGTGGTGGCGGTGGATGATCCAGCACGATTGTAGTAAACGACAAGCTTCCGGCAGGGCAGCTGTTGCAACACGAATACCACCCATCAGCTGTGCTCTCGCTGACCGAAAAACGGCAGCCTTCGGGGGAGCCCGGCACACCAGATCGACAGAGCTCCGCCCAATCGTTGCAACCTCGCGTTTCGTAGCAGACCTGTCGATAGGCACACACCAGCGAGTGAAGAGCGAGCTCTTCGCTAGGTAAGGGACGATGCGAAGCTGGCAGGCACAGGTCCTAAGGGGACATTTGTTTTACATATGCGAGCGTATGTGATGTCCGGGGAGCTTACTGCTTCAGCAGGCGGTGATTACACTGCTCGAGAATCTGCTTGTGTAGAACATTAGCACGAGAAGTATCTCGTACTTTGAGACTGAGAATTGAAGGAAATTGTGCAAGTGAATGGAGAGCCATGTCGATGTACGTGTGGGTAGCATAGATAGTGTTGTGGATGGATTGTTGTGTTTGGGTGTGTGCACACCTCGAGGCCTTCCGTGGCAAGCCCCAACGTAGACAAGTCTGTCACCATGAGGGCCATCTCAGCGGAGCTGGTCGATGTGTACGGATAGTTGTAGTACCGGGTCAACTGCAGCGCATGCATTACGACCAGCACAGTACGACACAGTACGGGAAGGAGGGACATGCATAAACACGTAATATATATAAAAAGTCATCCCATCCACACAAGCAGTAAAATTCTTCGTGCCAAGGTGTGTACCCACCTCTTATGGCCTCTTATCACGCCCAGGGCAGCACAAATGACATGGAGAGCAAGCCGCGTTAATTTTGCCTTCTTTTTTGCAAGCACGTCCATGCTGCCACAATCCCTGCCTCGCCCGAGGGACCTACTTACACCGGCCCACGGTGGTGCATATCTGTCTATCTATCTATCTACGGGTTGACGCCCCCTTGTTTGAATTGTTTTGACTTGTCTGAACTGTTTCGCCCTGGCAGCTGCGATACTGTCACTGTTACTGTTACCCCCCCCCACAGTTAAATACCGCCCAATACCCCAATTCGTCCCCGGTAATATTGACATAAATAGCCCGGCGCAACCCGAATTGCTGCTCCATCAATGGCTGCCTTAGACACCCTTGACGACATTTGCCCCGCCCCATGCCTTCATCAGCGTAACTCTGGGATGCTGCGATCATGTGATACTATTGTGCGGAAATGGAGCTGCACGCACGTGGTTTCTTACTTAGCACTTGCAGCTGGCAGCGTATCATGCCATAAGTCCGTGACACGCATGCAGTCCTGTTGCCGTCATTTAATCATGACGTCGGCGCGAACGCGCAATACTACTATAGTACAAATGCAGCTGCGTGTGCAATTGTCCCAGGCGACCACTGAAGAGTTTCTTCGGTATGAGGATATGTATGTATGTGCGTACGTATGTGCGTATGTGTGTGCATATGTCGCAGTGTAGGGTTGGGGTGAGGAGTCGTCTCTTGTTAGGATGTTATCTGAGAACGAAGGCCCGAACCTCCCCCACGTGGACTTGTCAATGGACATCCCATCCGATAACACAACGTATACCTACATATTACCATTTTCGTTTCCGTGCGTGGGGCGATCACATCTATCTGTAACGCCCCGGGCACGCAGCCGGCTCGGGTGTATGCAAAGATGCATGGATGTTCCCTTTGCATGTTAACCCCTTCCCTGCCCATGCTTGGTCTACGCTTGTTCTAGGCATGTGGCTACGTCTTTTATCTCATCCAGTCTTCTGCATTGTGAGGTTCGCTATTACTGTGTGTACCTATTTATTCCAAACGCACACACACATACACACATACACACACACATACACACACACATACACACACACATACACACATACACACATACACACATACACACATACACACATACATACACACATACACACATACATACACACATACACACATACACACATGCACACATACACACATGCACACATACACACATACACACATACACACATACACACATACACACATA